AGATTGACAGGCCAGGTATTTCAGTATATCCATTTTCCTTCCATTCTCTTTAAACAGAATTTTCTAAGTTCTTTTCCTTGCCATCCCTACGTTTATACTACCCACAGTACCAGCTCTGAAGCTGAGCTCGATAAGCAGCACACAGAAAGAATCTCGATTAGTAAACTACGGTAGATACAGAGGGAAGAATGAAATTATTAAATTATCAGCGGAGATCTTGCTCCATGCTGAAAGTACTTTCTAGCAGGTATGCACTTCAAAATGCAAATGATCACAGGAAAAAAAAAAAATGCATGAGAGGAGCAGCTGCATCCCTGCCAGCCCATGGCAACAGAAACCTGCTATGAAAATGTATATATTCACCACCAAAACTGAGCTGAGCAGACCTATTCCATTGCAGCCATTGGCTGCTTCATAAAAACTGATGGAAGTTTTTGAAGTCGCTGGCTCTGGAGCTGGGAACATGGGCAGGGTGTGTGTCAGGCTTGGAACAGCTGGCTTGGACGCTCACACAAAATCAGCTACAACGGTGCAACCGGGCCAGGACACCACCCAGCCAGCAGCCGTATGCTTTTCCTTTGTGGTTGCAGCGCTGTTCCAAAAGCTAAGCTTTCATTCCAAAAGGGGGAGGGAAAAAAAAAAAACCAAAACAAAACACACAAACCCAAGTCTTGAGCCCATCCAAGTCTAGACCAACTTTTTCTACAGTTGGAAATGATATAGTATCAGTGTTCAGCGACAGCGTGGACAGAAACATGCTGTGCCCCACTCCTGGCTAACCTGATCCCTGAAAAGGTGTCACTTTTTTAGCCTGTACAAGGGCAAAAATCTTCCAAAGGGTGGATCTGATCTGATGTAGAGATGTGTGCTGATGTGCAGCCAGGCTTCAAAAAACACAACTGCCAGAGATGGGAACTGCCTTGTTGAGTGCAGGAGGCATAAAAGGACACCGTTGGGATGGTTTAATGCAGTCATTAACTGTAGCACTGCTGGTAAAACATATGGGAGACTGTCACACTGGACACCATCCTCACTCAGAGAGCTCTCTGAACGCAAGCGCTCTCTTTAGTCGTCTTCCTAGGGAGAGGAGGGGAAAAAAAGACACAAAACCTGAGAAAAAAACCAACCCAATCCAAACACCTGAACTGAGTTTGAGCACAGCCCAAGGAGGAAACCAGACTGGGCATAGAGCAACTGCAGAAGAGCCTAATTCCTTGAGTTTTGTGTCAAAATAGCACGGAACTGTATAAAACACATTAGATTAGATTAGTTAGTACTAACACTTCACACCTGCATTCAGTCTCTGCTAGGAGAGCAGTTACCTGCAGATATGGGTGCACTTATCATTTTCATTCACATTGAGCTTTGATTAACACACAGGTAATTCTGGAACATGCGGCAACAGCTCTGCTGACAGATTCCCCATTTGCCCTCACTCCCCCAAGTCCATCTTCTGTTGTTCATTATGAAAAATTTCCAGTATAAGAAAAACATTCTTTTTAAACAACTAAGTATGCAATGCAATATCACTCTTAAAAGCTTTCCCTCATTTCACAAAGGTTTTGAAAGGCATAAATAACACCAAATAAATTTTATAAGAGTGACAACATGGTTTTTGTTCAGTTTTAATTCCAGTGCTCAGTATCTTCTGATGAATACTTAAGAGAACTATGCATAAACTAGACCCCATCTGCAATTGAAAGAAAATGAAAAACTTTGTTCCTCCAGCATATAAATCACCTGAAAGGCAATGAAAAAATATTTAGTTGCATTTCTCAAGCAACTAACATTTTCAGGATTTTTTTGTGCCTCTCAACACTTGGTTGACTTCAGATTTTTCAATACCCAAAATAGATTACTCTTTGGTGGCTAAGTAACAATACACAGCGGTTTAATAGCATTGCATTAACTCTGAATTTTTTAGCTAGCTTCCTCCAGATAAAGATATTTCCAGAACATCTGCATCAGTAGAGTAACAGGCTTCTTGCATAACTGTTCTAAGTGGGGGGGGAAATCTCCTGAAGGCTTTTTAATATGATCTTTCATAATTCAAGTTCTTGGGAATTCATACCAAAGCAGGAACAACGGATTCATTAAATAGTTCTCTTTCACCTAATGCCTTCTGCATGTTTCGCTCTTAAGCTATAAAGCAACAAGCAACCACCTCTCCATACTTGTCTGCGGTCAAGGAAGAGCTTTCTATCTGAAGGCAGAGGAAAAACCCTTCCATCTGCTTGTGCAGGTTGTGAGCCAAAAGAAGTGTTTTACAAACTGAGGTTCTTCCTCCGACCCTGTTCAATAGCTTACAAGTGTCTGACAAAGAAAAACTTCGGGACTTGAAGACTAAAATTAAAAAAAAATTAAGGGAGAAAGAAGGCCAAATTTTCCAGAAATGTGTAAATCACTTCATTCTCACTGGATATTTCTTAATAAATCTTAGAATCGGGCAAAAATCCATATCCCCAGTCCTAGCCAGAAGCAAGTCTTGAGACACAAAGATTAGCATATGCTCAGTTCAGACCTGCTTATTTATTTCTTAAAATGCTTCTACTGAATTAAATCAACCCATCCTTACCATTTTATCAACACAAGGAATTCTGCTTCTTTAAGACAACAATCTCCCACAGTTGTTTTTCTGAAGGCAACACCTCAGTCTGTTGCCTATTTCCCCAACACAAGGGGAAAATCTTCCCCAGAGGCATGAGCAAGGTAACAACGTAGTCCTCTTTACTGATGGAGAATCTTCAGATCTTGAAAATATCCTTCCCCACTTCCACTTTTTTTGGCCTTATTAAAGATTAAAACATGAAGTTACATACACCGGTCTATGTTACAACAATGGAAATTTAAGTTTACATACCAAAACACACAGAAGCCAGGAAATGAAAACCAGTTTCCATAGGAACACTAATAGCCTTCTCACTTCACCTTCTACACACACTTGAACACACGCTTCATGGGTGTAAAGCAAAAGGTTCTTTGCCTTTCCATTTTATTACCTGGCAACTTTAAAACTCACTAGTAACATGCTACTGTTATATTTATTGTCAAGAGAAAATCACAGATCACCTGACATATAGAGCAGTATCTACACATCTAACAGTGTATTCAAAGTTGGCACTCATACCTACTGATGAGCACAAATACTCCAAGTGTAAGTATTTAGAAAAAAGCGTTCAAGCAGCCCTAAGCTGTGCTAACGGAACACAGATATGTACTTTAATGCCTATATACAAGCTCAGTAACGGTAATCGGACACAGGACACTTGTCATATGCTGACAGGAATGATTTCACTCTTTATCAAAGACAGCCTGGATTTTACTCATCTGTTGCATTCTGTGCTAGAGAGCATCTCAAGGGGATGGGATGTTTGGAAAGCTCAGTTATGATGACCAGCTCTAATTTTATTTTCCATCCACAGTGCTGGATACACACCAGAAGGATGAAGACTTCAGACACTTTCTCCTTACAGTCCCTCACTTGCAAGTTTTACATGTTTGCCTACCCAGAGGGCCTTTTCAGCACAAACCACCCTCAGCTTTTGTGCTGGCAGCAGGGTAAGAACACACCTCAGCATCTAGCGGGGCTGTTCAGGGGTTCCCAACCCGAGACGCATGCAGAACAGGAGGTAGCACAAAGTATGTTCTTACCATGCGCCAGGCGTAACCCCCATACTGCACTGCTAAAGCTATACACCGTCCTGCTGCCCACAACACACAGGTCTGGGCGCCGTCTGTGGCTTCTCTTTTCTCTTTGAATATCTCACAGTGCTTGAGTTGACCATGCCTGTGTATTGCCCGCTCCTCAAACCGTATTCATTGACAGTAATTTGTAAAGAAACCCGCTCTGCTCTATTAGAACAAAGGCCTTTGTTGCATGTTTTCTTGATTTAGATTCAAATACAGCTGGAGCACTTAACCAGTAATGCAGTCAATCCAATTTCAGAATCACTTACTGGGGTTGGGGAAGCGAACAGGGAGTTTCATTTTTTAAACTTGGGAAAACTTGATGTGGTCTTAAGCTGAAAGCAATTCTTCTAAAATCGTGATTTGGAACACAGAACATCCAAATAAGACAAAGTTGTTAAAAGCCGAAAAGAAAAGCTGAAAAAACCCTTTTGTTTATGGAGGTAGTCAAATGAAAATCATTTCATTTGCTCTCTCATCTTGCTTCATACACGTTTATTGCACTATAACATATGCCTTCTATATAAAAAGATGTTGTAGAAAACCACAAGATTGTAAATAATAGATTTATGATTTGTTTGCAATTATATTTAATATTAATAGTCTTTTGTTTTTACAAAGCAGTTGAAATTAAAAAAAAAAAAGGAATAGCAAGAAACCCCCCATCTGCTGTCTAGCATCAGTAATCCTCACTGGTTTGTTTACCATTTATAAGGAAAACATCATTAAAGGTAGCTTGTCACAGAGACTCTTCTGCAATACTGGCCTTGGGGGCAAATCCATGGAGTTTTTCAGTTCATCTGTTTTTTCTGAAAATCCCTCCTCCTAAAATTCAAGGTATCTGCCAATGATAATATTCTTCCCCTCTAAAGTACCTTCCAGCCAAACACAGTAAATCTGGTAACACATGTCTGAGGATGGTAAAGATCCTCATTTTACAGAGGTAAACTAAGCATAGATAATTAAATTTGCCTGAGGCCAGTCTTTTGAATAGCCAGGCACAGAACCCAGATCTCACAATCCCAGGTGATTCACTTCGGCTGGAGACTACACTTCCTCTCTACAGAAGAGTGAAAATGAACTGATTACACTGAAATTGTTTCTTTTTTCATCCTCTCTAAGAGGATTGGGTATTTTTCTTGTGTAGTATCAGCTTCTGTATTACTAGTTGGAAATGGTGTAAATCTGATTTCAAGTTAACACCTGCACTAAGCCCAATCCCAAATGAGTCACTGTGACATGCAAGCTGTAGGCAGTTAGACAGTGGGTAAGATCAAGCCCGCTAGTGACATGAGACACTAGGGAGGTTAGCCTCATCCACCTGCTGACGGGCCTCTCCGGCCTGGTCTCCAGGAACAAGTTCCACCTCCTTCTCCAGACAGGGGGTTATAGCCTAGAAGTACAGAGGAGAAACCCACTGTATTAATATTCGTCCTCAACAGGCCTTCACCAACACACAAGAACACAGAAAAAGAAATCTCACAATTATTTGCACCTTGTTCATACTTACTACATCGGCAGAATTTTAAGGAAAATGAAAGCAGAGAAAATATCCAGACTTGAGATGGTTTATTTTTGTAGTGCTAACAGTAGAAGTCATTGCAAAACACTCGTATTTTAATTTGATCATTTCAGATTAAATTAAATTGAAATTAATTATCATTTATTTTCTCCAAGCCCGCACTAAAGCTTTAATGCCGCTCTGCAGAGTAAACAGAGCAGTAACAGTACCTCACAGTAAACTCTGTAAAGAGTGTATCTGTTCTCCAAGGGCCCTAATAGTTCGGTATTTAAACTAATCTTTTATTCCAGTCCTGCAAGGAAGGAATACTCTGAAGGTCAAAAGGTAGAATTCATTACTATTGTAAGATTTTTTTTTTTTTTTTAAAGAATTTGAAAAGGCAAGTATATGCAGTACAGCAAACAGATCCTTTGGTTGAATCTCCCAATGCCATAACTATAGGCAACTTCACTGTACAAGTATGTGCTCGGAAAGACACAACTTGGCAAATGTCCTCCATTTGTTCTGGACAAGGCAAAGAAAAAGACAACTGAAAACCTAGGAGCGTTACTACCCAAACAGGTTTCAAAGCAACCTGTCCCACTGAAACATCAAGCATCACCTCCATCTTTGAAGTTTGTTTTTCTCAGACTAGCCAAGTTCTGCTTTCTTGCTTAATTCAGCAGCTGAACAGTGCAGATGGTTCTTTCACTTCATGCTGATCTACCTCAAGAGAAGATCAGAGACCTCTAATTCTATAATCTGTTACTTAAGCAAAGATTTTGCTTAGGATGAAACTAGGACAGGTAGCAGCTGGAAGGGTGCCTCAACCCAGTTGCCCTGATCCTGGTTCTTAGTACAGCATTTCTCATCCCACATAGTGGTGAATATTCTGTGCAAGAGCTATAAAAAGATATTTGACAGTATCAGACATTAGGTTGCACTCATATTAAACAACATAAGATGAATCAATCCGTCAGTTCCTTCAGATGTCATCAAGAGCTGTCAGTAAAAATATTCAAAGCAGAAATTTCAGCACTGAACTATTATTGAGGTTTAATATGTTTACTCAAGAATCTTCAGGTTTCATACATTTAATCCAGTGACTTACTCAGTGCTGCACTCTAAGTGGGTTTCTCTAGTCTGATACAACCGAGGCTGTCTAGATGATCCCCTCCACTATGGAAAATTGTAATAAAAATATTATACCCAAATTAGCACTTGCAGGAATGGCACGGGCTGTTTGACCAGCTAGGAGACTAGCTGCATGGCCAATACATGGCAGTGATCCTAACGTGGGCTATGTAAGGCCACAGAAAGAAGCTCATACATCAAGATAATTTCAGCGGTTGACAGTGAGTTTAATGATAAGACCTTCTGGTGGTGTGCGAGAGTTGATAAGTTTATACATCTGCAGGATTTATATATTCAATAGGTCATTACTGTGATAGCTGATAAATAAGGTCACATTTTGTGTAATGAAGTCTTTCATCTGCCTGAATCTACCCAATACAAAGCAAAATAGCCTCTTCCTGCATTCAGTTAGTACTACAGGTGATTGAAAGACCAGATATTAAATTATAGGACTTTTACAATAATGGAGGAGGGATCCCAGAAATATTGTTAAGAATCTATAATTCTGAGTCACAAAAATCTCAGTACATTATGGCAAAAGCATTTATAAGAAAACTGAAACACTGTTTCCCCAGGAACAACCACCACAGAAACTTCCTGCTAGGTTTTGCACTAAGTGCAAAGCAGGACACACTGATCAGAGGTAACGAGCTTGTTTCTAAAGCATACTTTCTTTCTTCATTGAGGGAGAGAAAAAATATGTATGATGACTATGTACCTAGGTGGATAAATGCTCTGTTTCAAGCTCAGAATATCTCAAGGATTTCATACTTACCACCTCCTCGCAAGGGCTTTTTGTTTGGTTTAGATTTCGGGACTGCTGATGAGGTGGAAGCACCAGATTCTACTTCTTGCTGTTCACAAAAGCAAAAGTTACTCAGAATTTAAACAATGTGAAACTCAGCTAATCTAATCACATAAACATAACTGTAACCTGATTAAAACAGTTGTTACCTGATTCAGTTTCAGGTTTCCTTTATAGCTTTTTCCTTCTTGCATACTTTCCCACATTGCTATCTTCTGCCTTCGCTTCTCTTCTTCAAGCTAAGAAAGAAATACAGGATATGCAAGACCAAAATTTCAGAACTAATAGAATTGCCAGTGCTACAGAAACAACTACAACAGGCTCATCAAAAACCAAAACCATAGCTTTAGCTGATGCCGTATCTCCGAGCTTATGGAAGCATTTACTTTTTTAAACACCCATGTCTTCCAACCACAGAACACCCGCCCTTCCTCAATATATGACTGTACCTGCAGCTTCTTTTGACCACTTGACGCTTTAAAACATTTTAAAATTAAAACAGAATCAAGTGGCAAGCTTAAATACCAAGTTCATTAAAAGTACTGAGTAAAGAACATTGCGTATGATAGTAATGCACAATGTAGGGTTCTACAGAAGAAAATATGTTTTTCAAATGAACAAGACAGCCAGCTACATATTTACATCCCAATATACATTATTAACAGTTCTCCCAGCTCTCTTCTAAAGCTATTTATCCACAAAACCAAATAAATTAACGGCCAAATAAATTAACGGTCAAGACAGACTGCCGCCTTCTCAACAAATAGAAAGGAAACGAGGTAGCTACTCCAACCAGTCAAAGGAAGCAAAGCTCCCCGAGTCCAAGTACCCTAGACCTAGACTTTCTACATAGTGGCTATTTTCTTCCACAACACAACATTTCAAGAGGAAATGGCCTCAAGTTGCGCCAGGGGAGGTTTAGATTGGATATTAGGAAAAATTTCTTCACTGAGAGGGTGATCAGGTATTGAAACAGGCTGCCCAGGGAGGTGGTGGACTCGCCATCTCTGGAAGTGTTCAAGAAACATGTGGATGTGGCGCTTCAGGACATGGTTTAGAGGACATGGTGGCACTGCATTAATGGTTGGACTTGATGATCTTGAAGGTCCTTTCCAACCTAGTGTTTCTGTGATTCTGTGATTTGTTTTGAACTGCCAATATGTCTTGAAGCATCAGCTATAAACTGAGGTCTGAATGTAGCTGACTGCAAAAGTGAAAATAGAAGAGGAGCTGGGATATAAGCAATATTATTTCTGTGCTGATCACATCCACTTTTCTATGCTGCCCCATGTAGCACTATGCTATTCCTCATTACCTTACGCTGTAGTTCAAACCAGTAAATTACAGCAATGCTAAGCTACATTTCTAATAACTTGTATTTGCCCTTGAGAACAGAAAATACATGTATGCAGTAGTACAGTTAATCTAAAGGCCAGTAAATGCCCTCCAGCCATTCACTGCGCATATAACTAAGTTTCTGTAGGTACACAATGTTCCACACACACAACTACTTGTGGAGAAGCAAGTGTCACAGAGATTAGTTACTTCAGGAAGGAGCAGAATACTGCACATATCAATCATTCAAATCAACAAAGAGCATCAAGACATCAGGTCAGCAGAGTATGTAAGTATGTGCTTATGCATCACTGCGGGTCTATCATAATACCTACTGACCATTACTGCTCCGTGGATCAAACCATATCAGAAGTGGTCCAGGTAAAGGAGAGAGGGAAAAAACCACCACCCACACTGCAGCAGAGAAAGTGAGTCTCCTATTCTGCTGATATCTAGCATAGAATAAACCTTTCCATAACAGCAGCAAAGTACCTGATGACAAATTTATGAGTTAAAGAAAGAAATGCTCTCTGGTTACCTGTCTTTGTTTTTCTTTGTATCTTTCTGCTTGTGCATTCAACTCCTCTTGCATCCTGAGGCGAGCTGCTGCCAAAGCTTCCTGCCTTCTTACCACCACATCAGGTTCTAGGAAAGTAGGAAAGAGTTTGCAAAGCTATTAAAAATAAATTCTAGATGGCCCCCTCAAAGAATTGTAATGAGGAAAGGCTCCCATCTCTCCCTGAGGCTGTTTTGCAGGAAATCACAGCTCAAGTGTAGTTTCCAGCCAATCTTTTACAGTCATGTATATGCTGATGTAAATTTCATAAGAATTTAATATTTTTAGAGCAATTGCTTTAACAGTATTTTAATGAATAAGGACACCAATGTAATGAACCCCCAAAAAATTAAAATTCACACTTCTAGGATACTTGCTTCCATTTCTGAAGGACTTGTTTGATACAAATAATTTCAGAAATATCACTCATGCTTTACAGGGATTCCATTTTTATCCAGAGAACAACTTCTACACAGAAGCATGAAGCAATCAGCCCACATTCACTCCTACTCCTGGCAATTAGTCCTGTTTGTTTCTTTATGGCAGTGAAGCAGTGGCAGATTTAACATGCTCCATCAGCAGACTAATTACTTACAAGTATCGCACATATCGCAAGAGAAAATTGGCAGTCTCAGAAAAATCTACATTGAGTCACTACTTCATGACTGGCCTTTAGGAGAAGTCAAAAGAAAAATTATATCCAAACAAAGGGAAATATTGTTCTTTTTTTTCCCAGTAGCTGAAGTGTTTCCACATTTATTTGTCTCCTCATATGTTTCCTAAGATCCAGTGATGAGTACGTAAAAGAAATTTCAGTACTTTCAGTAATTTCATTTTATAGGCAGCTTTGGCAATTAAATCAAGATTTAATTAGCATTACAAAAGAACACCAGTAGGATTAGGGCACGTAAGTAATATTTTCTGGGGCCCCATGTACTGCCAGGCCAACATGCCAAAGGAAGCAGTGCCAAGCACTTATTGTTTTGGCAGGTACATAAGTATAGTCTGTGCTTTACGGCAGCGAGTCTCCAAATGAGGCAGGATCATGCCCATGTAAGATTTACAATCTATGCCACACTTGATAAGATAACACAGACAAGGGGCAGTTACGCCCTGAATGTACACAATCCTGCCAGAGTAGGAACTGTGAAGGAAAAACTGAGAGATTATGAATATCAATAAAAAAATAATATTAATAAAAATATTTCCCCCCAGTATTTAGATTTGGATGTTTTGGTTTTGTTCGATGAGTCTAAAAGTTATTTGATAACTGACCACAACTAACTGTAACGACCATTCTCTCAGCTTCTGCACTATCAAACACCAGCTATTCCCTTGTTCTGCAATGCCCCGCTCCTTCACGCCCAACCACGTTACTGTGGGACACAATCCTTCCTTGACAACCTTTTAAAAAGCCTTTAAAAAAGCTTTAAAAAAACAACCTTTAAAAAAACCACTTCTCTTGGTCCAACTCTTCCCCAGCGACCTCTTCACTAACACGGTCTGTACGCTTTCATGGGCCTAAGCAGTTAAGGCTGAGTATCGCTCACCGCTAAAATCCCTCAGAACTGAATGTTTTTGGTTGCTGTTAAATACTTGACAACCTTTTAAAAAGCCTTTAAAAAAGCTTTAAAAAAACAACCTTTAAAAAAACCACTTCTCTTGGTCCAACTCTTCCCCAGCGACCTCTTCACTAACACGGTCTGTACGCTTTCATGGGCCTAAGCAGTTAAGGCTGAGTATCGCTCACCGCTAAAATCCCTCAGAACTGAATGTTTTTGGTTGCTGTTAAATAAAGACTCGGCGTATGGGGATCTGAGCAGCCGTCTGACATCCCATCACGACTGCGGAGGGCTGGCAGGAGCCTGGCAGACAGAAGCACCACCCCACACCCCTCTAGACAGCAAAGATTTACTCACC